TGAAGGGGCAGCAGGCCAGCCCCTTCGTGCTGCGGGCGCGGCGCTCCATGGACAAGAGCGGCATGCCGTGGCACCTGCGCTACCTGGGCCAGCCCGAGATCGGAGACAAGAACCGGCATGCCCTGGTGCGCAACTGCGTCGACATCGCTACTTCGGACAACCTGACGGACTTCCTGGTGGAGATGGGCTTCCGCATGGACCACGAGTTCGTGGCCAAGGGGCACGTGTTCCGCAAGGGCATCATGAAGATCGTCGTCTACAAGATCTTCCGCATCCTCATGCCAGGCAACACCGACAGCATCGAGCCGCTGTCTCTCTCCTACCTCGTCGAGCTTAATGTGGTAGCGCCGGCAGGACAGGATGTCGTTTCTGATGACATGAGGAACTTTGCTGAGCAACTAAAGCCTTTGGTTCACCTAGAAAAAATTGACCCCAAAAGGTTAATGTGATTGAGAAGGTGGGCAATCAAGGCATTGGTTGTGGTAATGTTTCAGAGGGGGTATTCTTCTAAAACACCTTTTGAGGGCAAATCAAAACTGGGGGAGGGGAATAAAGGACTGCATATCGATGTTGCATCACTTGCAGTTACTCTTTTTTCTTCATTTGTAGATGTGAATAAAAAAGGACACTTAAAAATTAAGAATAATTCCATTCAAAATACCAAAAAAACACGAATACCAATAGTTTTCCTCTTTGGAAAAAGTCAGTTAGAAAACATAGGGCCGAACACTCCAAAACATCACACTTACTAGCATTCATCCTTCTGTGTATCCACATCTCAGTGCTGCTTTTTTTAAACACCATACTCGCACACTACGTAGCAATTCTTTTTCTTGCAACTAATACCTGAAGTGAATATCCCTTAACGCAAGAGATGGAAAGTGTTCTTTAACAAAAGTATAAAACCAGGAACTCTACACAGTATAAGAGAATAAGTATAAACCTTTTTACAGTAAAATAGTAATAATATAGATAGCAGCTAGAACAGCAGATACTTTATAGTGGAACTGTTTCTGATAATAGCCAACGTTAGAATTTAAACGCAGCTTAACAATATTACAGTCGCAAGAGGTATTCAGAATCTCCTTTTACCTGTTCCATCTATTTCACTGAAGTTGAGTATGATAATCTCAGCTAATAAGATAGTAAATTACAGATTTTTTTTTTTTTGTATTAGAACCCTCACACCTGCTAGGTGATAGACAAAACTGAAACAAGTAAGATTCATTTAGTTGAAAACAATTAAGAGTACCATACAGCTCCGAATTTTACTGCAACAACTGTTTTGTTTAGCATCTCCATAGTAGGATAGTTCCTTACCCTTTATTTCAGTGATACTTGAAACTTATGTTTGAGAGTTTTCAAATATAGTTTAAACAAAAAAGGTTGGGAAAACCAATAAAGATAACAAAAGCATATTTAAGTTTCTCATACTTTGCAGTAACTTAGAAGGCAATCGTTTCACTTACTAATAAAATGCAGCACCCTCTGCCAGAGACACTGTCGCCTTTTAACACGCTACTCGGTGTATACCAGCTAAGGGTAATGACTGCCAAACACCACTCCTATGTGAAACTTTAGGAAGAAATTTCAAGTTAACTGCTTTCAACACTGGAATTTGGGCAGAATAAACCATGGTAACTGGATTAGTGCTCATTGAGTGTGTGCATCTCAAATGTTCCCCTGATGCATGCTTTAGGTCAGAAGGCATAGGAACAACTGAGTATTTTAACACTGATTCGCTAAGCCAGCTGGCTAAAGAATGGCATTATGTTGAACACACAGCAGTGATTTTCCAATAGCGTGTAAATGATGACACAGCCTATGTGATTTTGGTCATTACCTAGGCTTGAACCATTTTGAGGGTGAGGACACATCTACCATTCTTTTGTCCATACAGAAGCATGACTTACCCTTGTTAGATTGCACGCTATGCTAGGGTTTTGGATCTGTTTCTTTAGCGTCGTTCTATACGGCTCCTGTTGTTACATGACGTAGTTTTACTGGCTGTAGGAGGAGGCTGAACTTGCTGCATTGCTCCATCATTCAGTTTGCAATCCCACCCCACCTGGTGGAATTCCTCAATGTTGGTGTCACATCCTGCCTGGGTAATGCTAGCTGGGAATCTCTCTTGCCACAGGCTTCGAAGATGCACTGCCTGTCTCTTGTGACATGAAATCTTAGAAAGCAATTCAGTGAATCAGAAGAGTTCAGCATCATATGCTAGCTTTTCAAAGGGTGCTTTCCTTTAAGTATACACAAAGATGCATAGAAAACAGCAAGTAGGTAGGCCTTTCCCATTGCATCCAAAAATAACTTGGGAGAAGACCCTGAAAGATAATTAGCACATGTGGGGACAAAAACACAAAAGACTTGCTGAAGTGACTATACAAGGCTGTATGTGCTCATGCCATTGACCATCAACTTCAGTCTAAAGGCTCAGAAAAGTAACAGAGCAAAGAAGTCAACGTATCTCCTGGAGTAAGGTTAGCTGAGGCACTAAAAACATGCTGTAGGGTGAAAGAAACTTCAGACTTCAGTCTTCAGTGAATAGTTGCTTCAGATCTTCCCTGTTCCTGTATTTTTTCTCCTCTCTGAAAATGTAACTCGGAGAAGGTACTCAAACTGTGCACATTTAAGCACACTGCTTTTTGTAAGGGGGGAAAAGAAGGCTTGTTACTGAAATGGTGGTAGAGAGAAAAATCCCACATGGAATTCCAGGCAGACCAGCTCAAGCAAAGGGGACTGAATGGAAAGGTCCCTCTAATAAAAGTAAAGTTGAAGCTTTAGATGACAGACTAACTGTTGCATGGTTTAACTTCTCCAAAAAAAGTTCCTTTTAAGGAGACTTGGCTTAAAACCAAAAAATTGCAGTAATCCACATTACCAAGCTGTCTTTATTCTAGCTGCAGTCTACACATAGAAGAGGCAGATGCGTAGAGAGAAATAGCATTGTGTCAGTGGCTACAGGTGGGAAAAATGAACATTTTCAGGCACATAAAACTCAAATATACTTTTCTCTTCCTGCAAAACTTTTATAGCCAAAGACTAAAATAGCAATACTACTGGTAGTGCACTGGTAAATTGTGTGGCATAATCCTATTGTTTTCATTTTCTAGAGCCAAATTAACTTATTCACATGACTGCGTAAAGTACCCAACATTTCCTTGCTAGCAACTGTGTATTTTTAAATTACAAGCATAACTTATGAGACCAAGAATGCAACTGTATTCCCTTCTGCTAATTTTTTTTTTTTTTTGGCCAGCTACAATAACTGCATTTTGCAAAGGCAGGGTCAGATAAGGGCTCTGCATGTATTGCATTGTACTTAAGGCCTGATACAGCCAAGCTCTTGAAGATTTCTGGTAAGTTTTCTTTCTGTCTAAGTAATGCTTTCTGTTTCAAACTGTTTCTCCAGTTTTACCTTCTTGTAATGTTTCAGCAGCTTTATTGATTACTACATAAAGAGCAGAAATCCCTGCACAACAAATAAAGGCAGGATCGTTACTGATCCATGAAGCATCAGCTATTCCTGCTATCAATAAAGTTTGCCCTACCGAAGGTCATCTGAAGCATAGTTCCGTGCCCTACTGAAGCATAGTTCTTAATGCTTCATGCTTTAGAAAGAACACAAAGTTCCTCCCCTGACAAACACTTCTCAGTCCTTGGTCTGGGTTCTTCCCATGGAAACATTCTTAACGATGTTACTCCTGTACAAGAGGAGACAAAAGCTTTTGTTTTGTGATGATCTTGGCTTATTAGTTGTAGTTACTCTTTTTTCCTTTTATGCTGATAAAACCTTCAGTCAATACAGAGGAAGTCATCTTTGAGACTACCAAAATCACAATAACCAAGCCGACCATGGTCCAATTAGTCCAGCTCATCATCCACAGCTGCACAAACTAAACTCTTCAGCAGTACACAGGTTTGGGTAAACACGCACAAGGCTGAATCTGCTGATCGCAAAGAGGTGCCACCTACACAGCCTACTGGGTCAGATTCTCCTGGGAACTTGCTCCAGCTGACTAGGTTAAAGCAGCCCCAACAGACACATGTGCAGCAATGACCTGTGTTTATGGATTTCGAGTCTTTGATGACAGGTGGATAGCTGAAGACTTTAAAGATCAAGATGAAGCGGGTGAAGTGGGAATTCCCACATGAAGTGGGAATTAGCACATTATCATAAAATATAGTTTTAAGCCAGCAAAATAACATGCACAGTGTTATTTGATACACAGAGGTCTCCATTCCCTTTATAGAAACAAATACATGCACTGAAGTCTTAAGTGAATTTTAGAAGGCAACACTTAACAAAACCTAGTAAAAAAAAAAGAGTTGTTTACCACTTCTCAGTTCATTTTGGGAGATGCTGCCATAAAGTGTAGTCTCAATATAAAACATTTGAACACGATTCTGATACGCTAGTACAAACTGAGCTTTTCAATATAAAGACAGCTAATGTGTCATTCAAGTTTTCACGTCAGTAACCTTAATAATACAAGAAAGCTGCTTTCCCGTTAAGTTTTACGTGCATTATAGTATTATAATTTCATACATGATCTAGAAGTTGGATACAAGGTAGAATGTTTTAAATAGAAGTTTCTTCAAAGCACTATGTGTTTAAAAATAAGTACAAACCAGGATTTTTCTTCATAATATTTTTAATACTTTTCACTTTTAAATACTAGTTTTAAATTTGTGATTGTAACATGGAAGAGCCAACTTCTTTAAATTTTTAAAACTTATCATTAGGATCATAAAGCTATTATAGAACAAACAGTTACACTCTACACACTCAGGGTACTCAAAAATATGATTCATGTTTTGAGTCTGTAGATGAACAGTGGCAATTCAAATACAGTGTTATCTGTACAACTTGACAAAAATACAGGTGGACAATCTGATTAAAGAGAATCGGCACAACTTCAGATAAACCAGCTCAGCCCAATTACGTAAAAGGTACTTTTTTCAAAGTGCATGACATCTTTTCTACAGATAATTGGTGAAAATACGATGTTCAGATTTTCAGGCAGCAGAACGACCATCTCTCATCCTTATTGCCAATACAAGTTCTATCAAGTAATTTCTTTTGGATCTAGTTTGGCAACATATCCAAATTCTCCAGAACAGAGGCAGATATCATTCAGAAAACAGTATCTGATGGAGAAGATAGCTGCATTCTCAGTCCTTCAAATTCGTTCAACCTATAAAACATCCAGTATAGCCCCAGTCAGGGGCTGCTTCTGGGATGAAAACCATCGCTGTATCAATGCAACAATTCCATTAACTGGAAGAGGAGAACTGAGAGTGCACGTATGTGGGGCACTGGAGGAACGGGTGGCCTCAAGGGACAAGGAAAATCTTTTAAAACTATAAAAGGAGGATTCCTTCCGGAAGGAAGGATATAACTGCTGCTCACACATGGACGATCTGAGAGGTCTACTGATAGTTTTATAGGTACTGACTGACCTCTTCAGGGTCTCAGTCTTATAACTCCTTCCATATTCGGTCAGAAACCTCTTACCGATCTGATTGGGCAGGGCTAGCTGTAGAGAAGTACCAGTGCCGTCATCTAGAAGTAAAATGTATTCTTTACAAATAGTATCTGTAGTGTAATTTTATTTACAGAATAAATCACAAAAGTACATCACATTTAGTGCAAATGCAACTAATGATATAAGATTTATATACTGCTTTGTAAACTTTCCATACCTTTGTAAAATAAAGCTATCCAATTAAATTAAGAAACAGTTACTTGCCTGTGTTCAACAACAATTACCAGAAATGGCAAATAAGGAGTTAAAACTTTTTCTATTTTGGACAGTTTTTCTTTGTTTTTGTTTTTCTTTCTTTCCTTTTTTTTCCCTCCTCTTTTTTTTTTTTTTTTTTTTAAAGTTCCCATCAGTGGCTATGGTGGATGAACCATCATTTGGTTGATTGTAAAAAGAGAGATGTAGTACATTTGAGGTAATAAGAATTTTTTTTTTTTAAACATCACTATATAAAATGCTCACTGGTGATATAGTAAACATGTACAAATTTTTATCTTATCTGCCTTACTAGCATTACCATATAGGCACTTTTCTACATATTCAAATTAACAGAATAATTCTGTAATAAGGCATATTCCATGCACACCATTAGAGAAAGGCAAATAAAAAAGGAAAAGTTATGGAGCATGAAGTCTGCGTGCATGTGTGTAATGTATTATGTATGCTCTCATCTCTATAGAGAAGATGAACAGACAAAAGTTTTTTCAACATTGTGCAGATGACATTTAATCATTTGCCAAATCTTCATTAAATAACTATCTTGTATTTACTTTCAGGCACCTACTACAATATATCAAATAAGACTTTCAGCTTTCTTTTGAAAAAAATATATCTGAATCTTTTGTTTTGAGATATACAGGTTAGTG